AGTTTACTTTCCTTATTAAAAAATTAAGTTACATATGTGGCTACGATCATCATTAGGTAACGTGAAAATCAAAATTCTGGTGATCAATGTCAAGGGAGTGTACACGAATTCTAACAGCTCGAAAGAATCCGGTCCATTCCCTCACGGCGTTTGGAAACCGTGGGTAAGCAGGTGCTGTTGTAGATGGGTTAGATGAATCTCGCGGGATCCATTGGCAAACTGGAACGGTGTGACCTAGTAATTTACCTGCTGTTTCAGTCATAATAGAAGACTATTAGAAGAGCAAGAAGAAAACTATCGTCCTTTTATGAAAATAATCATTATATATATTAACAAGTTTTGCGCCTGCTCATGCGCTAGGAGGTTTTAGCAGCTCTAGCGCTAGTGTCGCTATCCTAAAACATTTCAGCAGCCAACCAAATTTTTAGATCAGGTGTTCAATGTGCTATAAAAAATTGCTAACTTAATTTAACAGCAAAATTTTTTAGTAAAATCTTTGGGTTGGTGACACTAGAGTTCTAGTAAAGTTTAAATTGGCTGACTTGAATTAATGCTAATAAGGGTGCAAAACTAATAAATAAGTGGCGCATTTTGAAAATAAGTACGTACGTACGTAGGATTTTTTTTTAATAGTATTTTTACTATGTTGAATTATAAATCTGAAAAATAAAATAAGATTCTGATTTTTATGAATATATGTACAAATAAATTACTATATAGCATAATCCAACAACGCCAGGGCGTAGGATCGATTTTCCGATCATGTGATTTTCTGAGCCAAAAATTAGCCACGATCAGGTGTAATGTAAAAAAAATCAAAACAAACGACTTTTTGAAGAAATCGAATTAACCACCTTCTGTGCTCTAAGTAAAAAAATTCCTTGCGTGATTTTACTATTAGAACAGCCTTTGTAATTCTAAAATGAACTTTCATCAAAGCAAAACCTTAATGTGAAGTTATCATGTGATCGGAAAATCGATCCTAAGCCCTGTCAATTTCAGCATAAGGGTGTCTTTAAAATAGGCCTGGGGTCTAGGTTATTATCCTACTCAATTTTAGTTTTTTAGGGTTAGGGTTAGTTAGCATGTGATTTATTTATTTTTGGTCATAGGTTAATAACCTAGACCCTGGGTCTATTTTAAAGACACCCTTAGCATAATCCCCGATCATTATATCAAGACCACGGGAGGATTAATTGGGAACCCACCTAGTGTTACGGGGTGAATCGTACGTTTAATTCAGTAATTAGTATAAACACAAAAATATAGAAATTTTATAACATAAGGCATTCGCCAGAGGCGTGACGATGGTGATTTGACAATAGTTTATTTTATTAAACGTTTTTGATCAGGTGATTTATTAAAGGTATCAGAAAGAGGCTATTAGAATCCCGTAGGATGATTAATAATAGAACTCCCGAAGGATGATCTTTAAGAAGGGCGAAATGCTAGAGCTTTTATAGCTTTAGCGAATGTAAGGATTCAAGGGGCTTGGGGATGACTCACATATTACATTTTAACAAATTTAAGGAAACTACTTCTAAGCTAAAGGGCTTAGAATAATAAGTTACAGCATTATTATCTTAAAAGAAGGCTTTGCTTCGCTGACTACAATCATTTGTTTTTACAGCCACTTTTACTATATCCTAATCTTGATATTTGGCCTTCTTTCATTCCTTCTTACGCGTTGCTTGTTTTTTGGTTTTCGTGTTGGTGATTGTTTTGTCTGTATTCAGCCGATAAGCCTCAACTGATAAACCAGTATTTCTTGGATTACTTTGCTTCAATCACGGGGTTACTGTGCCTAATTTTGTAGATCCTTCATTTTAGCCCGTGACATTAGTATCGCCACCAAAATCACGTACTTAATCTTCCAAAACAAAATAAATGACTTCGAAGTATCGAATCGAACTTTCACTTATTCAAAAAATGGTAGACAATATTAAATATTTCGAGCAAGCAAAAAAGCTTCCAAAAACTTGGAGTGGACGTAATAAGAATACCATTTACTGTTAGTATTAATTTAGGCTTAAAGCTTTATACGTGTATTAAAAAAAAATTGAATTTAGATGCAATACATTTTAAATATTCAAATTTGAATGACGTTTTTGAATTTATAGCCATAAATTAAATAAATTCTTGAATGAACAATTTGAATAAATAATTGGAATAAATAGTTTTAATAAATAATTTGAATCAAATAATTTGAATAAAAAATTTGAATCAAATAATTTGAATAAAAAATTTGAATCAAATAATTTGAATAAATAATTTGAATAAATAAAACTTCAATTATTTTTTCGAAATCTTGTTATGTAAACCTCGTAATTCTGCTATTCTTATGTTAAACTCAGATTGAAATTTAAGAAGCGA